CTGTTTTTATGAATATTATGAAAGTTTTTTGACTACAGTAGAGAAACTTATCAATATAAATCAGCTCTGCTATGGGTTTTTGCTGACCTGATGATACTAATCTAAGCTTATGATGCAGGCAACATTCTGCATATAACCTTCTTCCATTGCATATGAATCAGAATACCACTTAAGCTTCTTTTTGCTGATACATTGTCAATGATACGGAGAAATGGTTGTTACACAGTAACGTAACCAGGGCAGTGACACTTCGTATTGCAGCCAAACAAATGGGTTTCTGGGTTTTGCAACAGGGACAGAACCACTTTCCATGACCCCATTTCAGAATGACCTTTGGGCGATTGTTACTGTCCTTCTTCATTGTTCATTAATTGTGAGAATTTAATGGCCAGAGGGATTTCTCAAACTGTGTGCAATCGATCCAAAGAACTTTATCATTTCTCCTCTGCGTAGAATTCCCTTTTCCATGACTTCCATGTGAAATGCTTTCCAGTTTGGGGATACAATTACTTCACAAAAAAAAAAAAAAAAAAAAAAAAAAGAACTTCAACTTCATGTAAAAACATTGATTTTTAAAAACAAAGTCTGCAAAGGAAACGGCCCGCTTTAAACCTAGTTAAAAGGAAGCAGCTGTTTCCAGGCAGCAAAATAAATAAAGGGGTCGAACCTGTGATGCACTTTAAATCTTTTAACCTTGCTTTCAGTGATCCCACTGGAGAACTCAGGGACACTGGATAGAGACAGCAGAAGCAGCAGGCTGAAAAGCCATCAGTATGGGATGTATTAAGCAGGTTTGTTTGTTTGTAAATACATAAAAATAAAATATGTAAAAATATCCTGTGAGAAAACAATTTTGTGTATCTAGTGGATGACAGTAAATCCTGTTCTGCATAGATGATGTTCTGCAGAAATGCCAAAGACAAGACTAACTGGTCCCTGCTGTACCTATTGCCTTCTCAGACCAAATAAGGTAGGTTGTAGTTTGGGTCCTGATCTTAGAAGAAATTCAAGACTTTGAACCCTGTGGCCCTCAATGTCTTTCATAGATCTGTAACAGCTCACAACAGTGTCAGGTATTCCTGAATTATACATCTGTAAGTGGCTGAAATAAAATACACTGCAAATAGCTTGCTACTTCACATAAATAAAAGTGACAGAATCAGGTTCTGAATCTTGAGCACAGCTCACAAATTTACTTCTGTTTAAGTGAAACGTTTATGTTGAACTGCCTCGGTGACCTGAGCCCAAGCAGAACCACTGCAGCTGCCCTCTGAAACAAAACAACATTTGGGTGGCACACACCAGGGAGGCACCAGCCTACCTGCAAATATCGGAGGAGAAGAAGCGCAGTGTCTGATCCTTCTTAACAAATGGTGGGAATGATGCCCCATCTGTGAATAAAATAAGAGTTTGAAAGCAATTCCTCTTAGAAGACATGATTAAATTTCTATCTCAATACTCAGCTGTTACTTTTCTATAAAGCCATGAAACAGGTAAACAAAATGAGTCATTTTTTCAGGAGAATACTTACGTAAGTTATTGCACAGTGACAGGCACTCCATAGACAAGATTGTATTGTTTTTGAAAGCAAGCCAAATTATGGCAGCTATTTTTTTTTTTTTTTTTCACAGATGTGGAGCTGTATGATCAAGCCCATTAAAAACAGAGGATACAAAAACCAGTCCTGCTTAATACGAATCCCAATACCTGGTGCCATTGCTTCAAGGTTTATGCAGTCTAAAGATGTACACCTTTCTAGAGATGCTTGGTTCATTTGCAGTTATGGCACTCAGCGCTTACAAGAAACACAGCTTTAGACTTCAAAACTGCCTATTTAATAATCAGTGCTAAACTTTTTTTCACCAAATACTGCTCAAGCAGACCTCTTCTTTGTAAGCTGAGATACTCTCTATAGCTAATGGAGAGAAGGAAGCACTTCTAGGGCACAACACATCTCACCCCATGGTAGACATGCCAAATAGGTCAGAGGAATAGCACTTTGGTGATGTCTTTTTCTCCACTCATTATAAAAAGAACACAGCCAGTTCAGATGCCTATTTCTGCATTGCAAGCGTCCAGAGTTAAGTAAGAGGACTCCCTGCCATTTTCGCAAACAAGGTGTTGTAACAAACCTTTAAACAGCACATTTGTTACTCTTTGCTACAATTCTGTTTAGTTGCTTAGTCAGCAGCCGTAACCAAGGGATTGAAAATGTTTGTGTTATCTTTGAATCTAGTTGGCAAGAGCTAAATTACATACTGCTACTTGCCCATGGCTGACAGAAGCACTTTTTCTTAAAGAAGATCCAAGATCATCCTAGACACCCACTCTATTTCTAAATCTTGGCAGTCTTGGAGAGTTTGCAACCATGGACACATTTCAAGCCCCATACAAGAATACTGCTTAATATTTTTATCTAGATATTTACCTATACTATACATTCTGTGCTTTGGTGTGAAAGCTTACAAGAAGGAATTCCCACACTTACAAGACTTTTTAAACCTGCTGCTTCTCTAAACACATGATCTCTCCTGAGCAGTCACACTGAATGCTCTTGTAAAACTGTGCGATAACCTTTGCTAACAAGGAAAAGTTCCACATTTTCACTGTACTGGAGCACTTAGTCTAGTTAGCTGAGTGTGTTTATTCCATCAGCTGTGGAAGAAGAAAAAACAAAAAGCTGATCCTGAGAAGAAAGGATTCAGGCTCCACAAGAAAGAAGGAAAGTCCCAGAACCTGAGAAAATATTCTCTGATAAAATTAATTACATAGTTTAAAAAAGAACTAATCCTTCCTGATTCACATACTTTTGGAAAGTCAGATTCTTGTAATGTCTTTGAAAAACTTCAAAATAACTTGCCATGTGCTCTGGGTTATAAGGAAAATGATCTATTGCCAGAGGAGATTTACACTGGATATTAGGAAAAATTTCTTCACGGAAAGGGTAGTCAAGCATTGGAACAGGCTGCGCAGAGAGGTGGGGGAGGCAACATCCCTGGAAGTGTTCAAAAAACAGGACGATGTGGCACTTTGGGACATCATTTAGTGGGCATGGTGGTGTTGGGTTGATGGTTGGACTGATGATCTTAGAGATCCTTTCCAATCTTAATGATTCTATGATTCTATGCCAGCTAAAGTAGCACAGAAAAGGGAAAAAAAAACAACCCCAAACCCTGCTTGTTTTGGTACTTGCTCACTGAAGGCCTACAGCTCTCTGCAAAAGCCTCCACCATGACATCTGCCAGCCTTAGCTCAACAGATTCTGGTGTCCTCACAGCAAAGTTTTCACTCATCAAGAAGAAAAATACCATCTTGAACAAATGTCTCTTAAATAACTCAACTATTTTCATATGCATTCCAAAAGCAAATTCAAAAATATTCCTCTCTAGCTTATTCATTCCAAACTAATCTACTTCTCTTCTTCATCCATCTTCACTTGCTAGTGGCCGCCAAACCACCCATCTGACAGCCTTCTCCCTTGTCACCTCAATTTCTTTTCATATCTCAGTGGTGCATTTAATTTAATTTTTCAACACTGTAAATGAATGTATATTATTAGAAAGCGAAGATAATTTTCAACTGCTATAGCAGAGAAAAAGAATCTTAGTTATATTTTACCATAAAGATAATTAGTAGAAACAGAGCGCTAAATTCTTTTCTTGTGTCTCTTCCACATTTACTCTAGCTGAAGAGGGTATGTGTACATGGACATATAAAATAAAATACAATAATGTATAATATATATATTATAATAGCTACACACATATGAATGTAAAATAGTAGTAGTATGTATACATTCATATTTATATAGACATTTAATATACAGAATACAGAACTGTCAAAGCCCAGGGGAATTAATTTAAAAATTGTATCTTATTATTCCCTAGCAATATCAAGAAATGTGTTGAAGTTCTAAAAAGCTTTAATAGGCTCACCTGTGCCATTAACCAAATCGCAGTGATCTTTCCAGTATGAAAGATTCCTTTAAGACAAAAAAAAAGTCACGCTGCATGTAGTATATTACACCACGTAATGCATTTCATTACCTGTATTGCTAAATATAACTGCTCCAGTATAAGCCTGATCCATTAGCAAAGTCAGAGCATAGAGATGTTCATTCATTTATTCAGATAAACTATATGATGCATTAGAATAGGATAAAAGGGATCTAGCTACTTAAGTACGCAAACCAGAAGTAACTACTTGTATCAAAGAATCAATAATTGTCTCAAATCTAGGCTCCTAACAGAATCATGAATAGCTGAGAGAGAAAGGTGGTTTTGCTAAGCCAAGGGCTTGATCCAGCTTTCCTTGAATTGTTGAAAATTTTCCATTTATCTATAGCTCTAAGTGAATCCAGCCTTAAAAGCCATACCTTGAAAATATGTATGGTTTTTAATTATACAATGCTATGATACCTTTTGTTTTTATAGCTTTCAATTATTGCTGTTTTTTTAATATCTTCTTTCCCAGTATAGACTTTGTAAAGTCCGTCGAGTGTCCCATTATACTGTAACAGACACAAGAAGAAGGAATAAGTTAGAAGTACTGAACCAGATTGTAGCATTGTCATATTTTTCTTCCTCACAGCAGCTGCCTTAATTTTTATTCACAGAATGGTAACTGAAGGCTTTGCCTCCTCATTGGTTTCACTTACCGGGTAGAAGACTCCCAGAACTGGGTCCAAGGGGAAGGGGACCTTGTTTAAGAAGGGATCTTTGTATCCCCACAGTAATTCTTTCACTGTTCTGTTCTGCAGCATAGATGACTTAGAAGCTTTAATCCAAGTATTTAATAGTAGTTGTATAAAATTGTTTGTATACAAGGCAGGTGCAGCCTACAACAGCAATAAAATTAACATTTAGTATAAAATTCTGCATGTGCTTTGGATCAAAAACACGGAGATTGACTGCAAGAAATCTCTGTCAGAGCCAGTTTCCAGAGTTGCAGCTCACTGTAAGTTAAGTTTCTACTTAAAACTGACAACCCTTAGCAAAACAGTTATGGGGCATAACTTACATAGAGGCAGACAATTTGTCTTTACTGCTTGCATGAGTACACTAGATCATCCCTAATCACAGAATCACAGAACAGCTGAGGTTGGAAGGAGCCTCCGGAGATCATCTGGTCCAACCTCCCTGCTCAAGCAGAGCCACCAAGAGCCAGTTGCCCAGGACCATGGGCAATATCTCCAAGTAATAATCTCAAATCCCTGTCTGTATAACATGGTTGTACCACTTCTGGTTTTCTACCTCTTTTCTGTCATCTCCACATGTCACATACTTCAGACTCAGTCACACTATAAACATGTAAGCAAAAATATACAAGCCTTGCTACTTATTGGTTTAGATAAGTGGTTTAGATTTGCTGTTATGCTAGCAGCAATACAACTGTATTCTGCATAAAACTGACCAAGTGCTGAATCTCCATTATTTCTTAGAAAGACTATATATTTACAACAAACAAGTCCTTTCTGAACAGCTTTAATTCTAAATAATGGATAACTTTTCCTAATTCGATGAAGAATAATGTAGATTTACCAGCAGTAATTGTAATGAATGTTCCCAGAGGCATAAACACAGTCAAGTCCCTAAAGGCACTGAATAGCTTGTGAAAAGCAAAAAGAAATTATCTATGTTAGCCTGTCTGGTGAAGCAGGAAATTGTAACAATTTTGATAACTAAATCTGTTTAAAAACAAGTCCTTCTCTTAGAGCAAGTGCTCAGCCTGTTGATAGACCATCTCTTCGTACTTAGTGCTATGGGGATAGCAATGGAACAGTCTCTTCTGTTCCCATTTCCTGCCCTCCTCAACCCCATGAATCTTTCACTCTTGTCTCTTGAACACAGAGTAAGCAGAAAGCATGGATATGACAAGTTCATGAGATAGAGGAGATGTGGGTTCAATCTCCTCAAGGTTAAGAAAGTGTGAAAAACATCTCTGTGAATTCCCTTGTGAGTATTTTGACAACGAGGTTATGATATAGAATCATAGAATCATTTAGGTTGGAAAAGACCTT